ATCTGACGTAACAACTTTCGCAAAGGAAGCCATCATCAGGACATGTCACAAAAATTCATCCCATGCATTATTAGTGTCTGGACTAGATTGCTTACGTACTTGTCAAGTTTTCATTTCACTCGGCAATACACCTATTGTGCCATTATGTATTCCGGATGTAGTCGATTTTGTTTATGGCAAATATCCGTTATGAGAAAATAAAATGACAAATACACTCGATGAAACCGAAACAAGTAAAATGTTCAAGGCAAGATGAAAAGCAACTTTTTTCTGTACAATTAAAAAAACGATGGCCATACTTAGGTGTACAGTTATTAAACGCGAAAAATTCGCTTAGCTGCCGAGCAAAGACCACTAAACATGCAACTGAATCATCGGATTTTCGGCCGATACTGGGATTATCTGTTTTGTGATGAAATTTTTGTTCGTTTTTATAAAACCTGGTGAGCTAGCAAAACAAAAATCCGGAAAACTGCTGATGGAAGGGGCGGATTACGATGGATGGTGAGTAGCAGGGCGCCGTCTGGCAACGGTCTAAAACCTGTTCCACCTGTCGGATAGAATCCAGCGATCGTCAGACGCACGGCGACCTAAGATTCCGACGAGCGTCGTTCGTGACCCGACTACGACGACGACGACAACAACGACGAAGTATACGTCATCTATAATTTTCATCGCATGATGATCGTTAATATTATTACTAAGATTGGTCAGGTTGGCGCTGTGTGGCATTCGATCGATCGACCTATCGGCCAACCGACCGATGGTCACGTTTGGTCCGTACGCATGACGACAGCGCACGACAAATGTCAAGGTTAAATGGACGGGTCGGGCGAAAGGTAAAAACAGGAAATCTACCAGGGTAGCGATCGAACAAGAAAACGAAGATTCAAAAGAACGGCGGAAGCGAACGAACGAACAAAAGTAAAAAATATACAATACGCCATATAAAATTGACAAAAACAAACATGATTTTAAAAATGTGCAAAATCCGCTTACATAAATCAGACCGGAGTAGTAACGTTCGCGGAGGTTGTGAAGCACCGACGCCTCGTTCAGGCACGTCAGTTCAGCCATGTCCTCGACCTTGTCGAACTTGGGCGGGTTCATCTTCTGGATATCATCCTTGCTCACCTTCTGGATCCTGCCGGTGTCCAGTAGCTCGACGGTCAGCTCGTCAGCGTGCTCCTCACGGATGCTGGCCGCCACGAAGCCCAGCGTCTCATCCGGAACCCATACCAAACGCTTCATGGTCCATGCTGCCTGGTATGACGGGTCGTTGCTGCGTTCGGCTACCAAATACTTAAGATCTTCGCCCGAATATGTCGGTACATCCGACATTGTTGCTTGCTCGTAGCTACTGCTGAAACACAGAAAAACAGGGTGGGGTGAAAACAAAACCGTTAAAAGCGAACGAGAGGCTCGGGCGACAGCAGGCAAAGAACAAGGACATGGCGACGCGTGATAATAACCGAAACAAAACAACGCTCATTACTATCACCATTACCATCACCTCCTCCTCCTCTTCCTTGACGGTCGCAAACCCGGCTTGTTCGTCTGCCTGCGGCATGAAACGAAACTTCCAACTTAAACATGAGTCACCGACCGACACCGCCGGTCGGGCGGCCGAACGAGCGATGGTGGTCAAACAATGCGCAAAGCAAAACTTCCTTTCATTCATTCGTTCACTGCGTACTTCCGCACACCGCAGCATCACATACACACATTTATATATACATATAGACAGGTATATGCAACGATACACCGAAGGCAAGATCGCGGCACCGACTGCCATCGACTCCCCGGGCGAAAATTGCGCCGAATCCCGTACGCTACGGAAACGAAACGCGTCCTTCATAACGACGCGAAAAAAACAACACAACAAAAGCTAGAATCGAGAACCAAGGCTTAACTGCATCGCCCGTCCTCCTACCATAACGAAAAGCAACTTTTACACCTACTTCTGGTCCATATTGTGTTAATGACTCAACCGTACGTAACGCTCAAATTAAAAACGGGTAAGGTGAGACCAATCTTGATTCGTAACTGAGCGAACTTAATGATCACAAGAAATTCCAGTAGCCAATTACAGTAGGCAAGATACACGTTACTGAACTGTATATTTTTGAAATCGGTCAGCAATTGTCATTCTGAGCAAGCAAAGTAAAGAGAAACATGATTTAAATTTGTAATGCCATGTTTTAATTCCTTGAAAATAATGTTAGTGCAATTAAGCAAATGTTTTAAGGGGACTTTAAATGTTAAGCTCATTTTAAAATTTCTGTTTACACATAACTCCGTCATTGACGGTTCCAAACCCGAACAATATCGTCGATTTCTCTCGGAAAATGCAGCTACCTGACTAAAATTGGATGCTGTCATCAATGTTACACCAGCAGTCACCCAAATTGTTAAAAATTGCTCAGGCCTTTCGGTAATGAGACAGAAGTGCGAAAAGTCGGACGATTAAAACGTGCTTCATGCTTTCTGGCATTTGCTGGCCTAGCTGCACGACAACCGATGACGAAAATCGACAAGACAAAAATTCTTCAAGCAACGGAACCCACCCGTACTGAATGAACGTGGCAGACTACAATGAAATTGTGGCACATCAAATAAACTTTCATCTGAATGACGCTGACAATGCGAACTCACAATGAGAATTTCTTACGTCTGCCCGGTCATCGAAAGCAGACGATTCTGATTGTCTCCAACGATGCTGGTTCTGTGCCAATGTTTGAAGTTCGACAGAATATAGGCCGAGTCTACAGCACACTTTGAAACACTTGCCACAAGTCTTTCTTGGCCTACCCAGGTTCTGCGGTCAATCGGTTGGGCAAGAATTAACAGTTTCGTTTTCATTTTGGAAAGCATTCGTGTTCTCCACCCTAACCATAGCAGATGTGAGTGGTCAATCAGGAGGAGTAGCGGCTGTTAACCAAGGGTTCGCCTGATGTCTGCTTTCCGGACCATGTTGAGACGCGTGAGCCAGACGATTCGTCTCCGAAAGCTGATTTAAGTGGCTTGTGTCCGGGATCGAAGTTTTTCGGTCATTACCCAAGATTCATGGCTATAGGTGAGCATCGAAATGAATGTTAAATTGAACAGAGAGAAGTGAGCGAACAGCTTCTGAAGAGAGGATTGCTTCGAAACTATCATAACTATGTGGTGAACTCAGAAGCCTGCGTCGGGCTTGGTTGAGCAAAACCGTCCAAAAATAAGATAGCAATATTTTCAAAACCTTTCGCATATGAGAAATGTGCACTGGTCGCAGACGCGACAGAGGATAATACAAGATCTGTAATCATTTTACCGAGGCAACCTTCTTTCGCATTACCTTTTACGCAGCAGTGAGCGTTGCCTAACATCACTCTGAAGTGCGACTTCTAACGGTCAGACAACATGAGTCTGCTTTACTTTGCTGAGATGACAATGACAACGAAAACACAACAACAACAACAACAACAATACTTGGTGAAATTCTAATGAAGGGTCAGAATATAAAAAACTATTGACATACGTTGCAGTTTCTGCTACGCAGACATTCCTTCCTTTGTGATTCAGAAACAATGGACAGCTACTACAAAGGTAACAGAGATTAAATTTGTTAAATCACGCAGATTTGATATTCAGCAATATGACAAGCAAAGTGATATAGATTATTTAGTTTTTGCTAATCGGACAGTGGTCGTTTCTGATATCCGAAAGTACGTCCATCAAAACACGTACTTTCATCCACCTACGTTTATTCGTTCATCCGTTCTCCCACGTCATCGATGCGGCCTCTGACAGGCACAATCGCTGAACGTTTATGGTAAAATACTAAATAACAATCTTGAAGCTTCTGACAGAATTTCTCGAAAGTTTTTTTTACCTTCTTCTTTGAAACTAACGTTGAATGCCTGCACGAGTTGTAGACCATCCGGAAGCTTTGGAGCCAAAGCGTTGCAAATTACCATGGAGCCGCAGCCTGATTAAACAATTCCCGAGGCATCTAAAAGTAAAGAAGATGTCAATGAGTCGTTGATACTGATTTTTGTACAGACAGACACCGACGTATGAAAGAAAGCCTTTCCCCATGAATCATACAAGACGAATTTTGTGGAAGTCAGATCTGGTCCATCCTCGCCCTTAATCATATCTTATCGCCTGCGTCTTCACAGCGGATGTATACACTAATCATTAAGCAGTTTTGACGGTTATTTCCATTAGCTTTATATGCATGATGCACTCACAAATTAGATTTCAATATGTAATCATTAATGCGCAGTATAAACAGTATAGGAAAAATTATAAAATATTTGACGGAATCAAGAGATAAGTAAACAATTCCAATCTGACAATCTGGCGTGTTCCCGGGTTGCGGGTAGGGAAACATCCTCCAGATATGGAGGAAAAGATATGAGACCACCAGAGCAGGGTTGTGTTCTAGATCGACAAGTTCAATCGTCATAGAAAAAGTCACAATGTCTAGAAGCAGTTTCATGTCGAGGCGGAGGTAATCTGCTTCTACGAAAAAAAAGGCCGCCAATTTCTCAGCTGTCTTGTGATTAGATATTGGTTCGTCAAAGGCTAGAAAAGATAGCTCGATAAAAGCTGGTCAGGATTTGGGACCGGTCTGTACAAAATTTTCTAGGCGACCGTCAGTCCTGTTGGCGGGACGACAGATCAAGGCTCATGTATTAAGACAACACAGAGTGATGTAAGTGTTGACCAGCGAGATTTGTCGGTCCAAGTGAACTGAATAATAGCCTCTGAAGCGTTTCTCAAATTTTGTTCTAAAATCACTCAATAATAGCTTAAAATGTTGCGTACTTTCCCTGGACTTCTGATAACTAGAGGGACTAGTATTAATTTTGCCCACTCATGCCATTTCTGCTGAAATCTCACGGAACGCCACCATCATGTCATATGCCACGAAGCGCTTCGGCTACTCTTGTGGTTATGAAGCCTAAGCATCAATAACCCGTGTAGCATTTAATTCAGTGAATACTTCATTTGCTGATTCAACCCCACTTGAGTCAATCGATATGATATTTATTGAATTCTCTTCTGGTTATTTTGGTTTGGAACAAATGATGTTGAATCATAGACTAAGATCTGACGGAAGGCCAGATGCTGTTTGATGGATGATATCAAATAAGTTTCGTAACATTTGCCTGACTGTCATTTGGTGTAAAATAGAAGTGCCGAGATTTAACCCCGTGCAAGTTAGATTTCATGTTTCCGTTCAAGAGCCGTTCCTAGAGCTAAGATGGTGTGCCCTCAACCACGCATCAAGAATTTACCTACAAATTGTACATAATTTCTTTATCCCTCCGAATCGAGTATGATATTTACCGTATTGATTGTTAGGTTCGTTAAAATAATTTGCGATTACAATGAACGACATGATTCTAGGTCTTTCTGGTTATTTTTATATAGATGTGATGGAAGTTTCTGGATTGATTGCAATCAGTCACTGATACTCGAAGCTGTACGTACTGCAATCAGTTTTGGCAAAACACACCAACCCCAATTACCATGTCAATTTCCAGCGCAGTGCCCATGCTACCGAACAGCGCCATCAGACAGCGTCAGTGATGACGGCAAGCGAAATAGTAACGCCATAAAAACAATTAAGTTTGTTATAAGCATCTATATTTGCTCTTAAACTTTTTTTCAAACGAAGTTTGCACGCAATGGTTGGTTAACCAATTTGCTAACTAACTTAGCCGCATATCTTTGATCGTTAACTTATCAGATGATATATGATCATACTAATCATTATCGTTGTCCTCTCCCTCCTTTTCCTCGTCCTTCTAATCATCATTAGCCTTTGACTACCCACTGCTTTGAAAAGGGTCCTTTGATTACTTGATCAAAAATTTCAACTACTCGTGAATGTTGTCTACACAGTTGCAAAAGAATCGGTCTTCCAGTCAATCTGAAGGACCCTTTGGTCCAACGAAGGTCTGTTTTTCTCACGATATATGTCCCATCCATTACCAGTTCAGTTTCATTGCTTTTGCAGTGGCATAATTAATTCTTGTTTGTGTCCTTATCCAATTATTCCCGTTCATTGACTTTCTGTTATCATCAACAGACACCTTTCCGTGCTGCGTTGAGTAAGTTGTAGGTTCTGAAAATCTTTCACGATTGCGGGTTGGTCTTACATTCATTCTTCAGCTCTAAAAGCACGCTCTGATTGAAGGCGATTGATTTCAAGCCAAAGCAAAGCTCTGTCTAGGAAAAGAGATCTTTGGTTTTCCAGAGGTGTTTCATGCCATCCCTGCTCTTTTGTTGACATGGCAAAATTGGTTTTCTGCTGCTCTGATTCGTTGTCTCCATGAACACCGCGTTGTTCCTCTTCACTCGTGCATAGATTGATTTCAATGGCTCGCAGAGTCGCGCGAATACTGAATATAATTCCATGATTACAGTAAAAGCATGAACGGCACAGAGGATGCTATTTCCTTCACTAAATAATTGAATTTGTGATTGAAACTACGAATAATTATTATCGCAACATAATATATTAAATTATTGAATCACTTATTGACAAACTAATTATGAACAATTATTTCGTTCATAAAAAGCAGTATGTGGAAGAATCGGATATCTGTAAAATCCTTTTTTGACCACGAACTAGTCAGTAGGCCAATTTCGATGACCGCTAATCCTTTTGGATCGCAGATGCAGTCAATATCTTGAATTCTGTGCCAGGGTTGAGCTTCAGCAGACGATAGGGCGAGTCAGGAACAAATTCCATCCAGTCATCTGCCCCAGGTCATTCTTCGCTATTCCAAAGATCCGCTAATTTTTTGAGCAAATAGCAGCTTGAAGCATTTACAAACAGATACCGTTTAACCGGCCTTA